GGCCATTTTGAAAAATGTGTATATTTCCAATACAAAGTGCCATCTAGCTTGTGTCTTTGGATAAATTTGTTTCTATTGCCCTAAGGTATTTCCATGCCAGAGGGGACATTTTGTAATGTAAGATATCTTAATTTGTAAGTATTCGTAAGGTAAGATATCTTCTTTGTTATATTTCTGGCAGTCATTTTGAAAACGCGTATATTTTGAAAATAAAGTCCAAGTTTTTTAATTTTCAAGACTCAAGATCTAATGAAATAGATTCTACGACTACATCACTGTATTTTTTGACACCAATCTTATAATTGTAGCATGCACAGAAGCAAAGCTATTGTCTCTGATGTATTTTTGGCGGCCATTTTGAAAAATGTGTATATTTCCAATATAAAGCGCCATCTAGCTTGTGTCTTTGGATAAATTTATTTCTATTGCCCTAAGGTACTTCCACGCCAAATGGGACATTTGCATCATACAATGAAGTCCAAATGTAGTTCACCCATCTACTATCTGTTTTAAGAATGAATTGGCTCGAATTGAAAGAATATCTGAATATATAAACTATGAGAAAATTAGAATCCAGAACAGCCATCGGGAACAGCCACGGATTGAAGTTGAGATGCTGACAACTTGACCCTTGCAATTGATATCCTACTGCACAGCGTCGTTACTCATCCCTAGTTTGAGCGAAGTACGGTACTTACGTTCCTAGTCTAGTAGGTCAGCTCGTTTGAAGTACGTTGTTGTCACACGATCTAATTACAGAACGGTATTCTCGCCATCGAATTTTAAAATCATTTAAAAATCTTATTCACATTCCCGTCCGTCAGCCCTTGAAATTCGAAAATAGACCTTAGAAAGAAGTAGCTACATTCATTCCGTTCGCACTCAGTTTTTAACCAGTTATGCAACGTGTTTAAGAACGTAGTGGCAACTAGTTTGGTGTGACTGCTATATTTTCTGCTAACTCGTTCATAAACAGACTTTAAAACGTCCTTGATCAGTTTAAACCCGTTTGCAATTAGTTCACAATACGTCCTCGGAAAACTCAATTCGTTCTAAAACGGGATTGAAATACTACAGTTCCGTTCGTAATACGTCGAGTCCGTCTTAGTACGTTGTCACTTGTTCTTATTGCAGAACGTGACGACGTGGACGTGACATTTTTAAAGAGAGCAGTCTGACAGAAAACTAGAAGCTTATCATTTCTTTTGAATTTCAACGTCCTTTAATCCCCCCCCCCCCTCTTCAATGTTGAATAATTCAAATCGTCTTGATATATCAGGCAACATTAGTAGATGTATTTTGAATACTAATTGGTTTTGAATCAAAATGCATTCTTAATTTGAACCAATAGTATGAATGTTTATGCCAGCTTTTGCTAAATCATCTAACCTTGGGGGGCTGTGTTACTTGGCACACGATAATAACTCATTAAAGAAAATGAAATTATGTTGCCATTGCAAACTAAAATGTCATAAACATTGTATAAACCACATGATCATCATGATCATTTTCACTTTTTTTATACAGAGAGTTTACAATAAAAAAATCAGTTTTAAGAAGCAAATGATGAAAACCTGCAAACAAATGCAATTACAAGGTAACTAATAGTGTTGCTTTAGCAACGGCTTTTTCTTGATGTTCTTGGATATCAAGCTAAACTGAATTTTGAAATTGGGATCAACTTATATGCAAGGCATTGGCATGCAACATTTCACCATCTGTCATTTGTTACATTTTAAACGTTCAAGTTAGAGAGTGAAAGAATATCAAAAGGGTAATTAAACAACCTTGTCAAAAACTACGTCGCTGGCTTCATTTTATTCTAAATAATATCTAGGAAATAACAACTGAGATAACTGATCAAATATGCAAGTTGTTGGAGATTGAATATATGCAGGAATGACTACGTAGGGTATGGCAAGTTATTTTAGACGGTCCTATCTTTCACCATGAGTACTTTCTGGCCATAAATACAGTGATATTTATTAATAAATAAAAACAATAGTACAATAACGTAATTTCAAAGGGCAATATAGTGAAATATTGGACCAAGGGCCGCAGGCCCAAGCTAGGTCCAATATTCCACTATTTTGCCCGCAGAAATGACGTTATTACTACTATTACCACCGTTAATGACCAGGGCTGAAATAGCAAATTTGAAATAGAAAATCTTACGCACTGAACGATATCACTTTTCCTGGGAAACATAGCCGGGCGGATAATGTCATTACTGCCCGACTAAAGTCATTAACGCCCGACACAATATTGCTCACGTCAATATAGCAATTTAAATTCCTTCTCAACTAGTACTAAAACCCCTAGAACAGGCCCTGCAAGGTGGTAATAATAAATTTTCTTTCAAATGAAACCCCAATGATAGCAAAATATCAATCCAACTCTCTGGAAAAGTATGGATTGGGACCCGCGTTGGTTATATTTAAAATGTAAGGCTTATTTTCCAAAAAGAGGATCTTGTTTTTCCCAACTTAAACATATAAACAGTTTCTTCTTAACTATATTAACAACTTCTGTAAATGGGGTCGGGATTGATATGTGATAAAGTTTAAAACCACAAACCCCATGTTATTTTCCCATAGGGAAAAACTCATTCTATCCATTGTTTTCAGCATAACTTGGTCATCAAAAATTAGACTTTCAATACCATTCTACTTTTAAAGAAGTTTTAGACCCCTTCTAGGATAATATTTTCATGCAATCAAAATCACAAAAAGAAGATTTTTTTTAGTAAATAGGTTCAACTTTTTGAAAAAAGTGCATACTACTCATGGAGAACGCATTTCGACCTATCCCCTTATTTTCTACCATATCAAATATTACAGGTTCATGGACTGTTGAAGGATGTGTCTGGATTTTGATATTAGGCGGAACAAAAAAAGGAATCCTGTGTGATGGGGGGTCAACGAGTGGAATTGGATAGTGTTGTCGATATGGCAATGAGTTGTGTTTAACTTAAACGTGCAAATAACAAAGAATATGGGTTAACTCATGTATTTGATGTGTGTCATGAGTGCTTGTAGTTGTGTTTTTGTAGTGTTTCAGGCCTCCTTTACTTCTATAAACGCGATCATCAGTTCTGACCACGCGAACTAACTTCCTTCAACCCGAACCACGATTCTCACAACGCGAATATCGCTTCTTTAGTCGCGAACAACTTCCTTTTTCTCGATGGTTCGCGAGTAGAGAAATATGTTCGAGAGAGAGGAAAAAGTGGTTGGTTGTTATAGTGGTTTGCTCATACCATTGGTGCCCTTTCTTACTATAACAAGGTGCAACCATTTTTCAAAAGCTGGTCGAGCTTGATAGGCTTAGAAATAACATAACGTGGTGTATCAGTATCGATCAGGAATTTCGTACGGTGCTTTTTTCGCTCATCAGTATATTTCGTGAAACACCGGCACTGTATAATCAGGGCTCTATTGAATTGATATTAATATCATATGCTGCTAAATGTTAAAAACTGTTAAAAACAATAAATGTTAAGAACTTTGAATTGAGATAAAATATTCAAGTTTCGATGGTAATTATCATTATTGTAATTATTACGTGAGGGTTCAATAACATTTATTCCATAATCAATCCTCATAATCTACTAAGAACAGGATAAATCAGTTATTAAATGCTCGAATTTTGATACAGGACACATCCCTCGGTAAATACAATATATCAACCCTCGGTCCCTAGGGTCACTCAGGTAGATATATTGTATTTCCCTCAGATATACCCTGTATCAAAAACCTCTCTTTAAATAACCTCTATATCCTGCCCGCTCCTCAGATATGATACATATTCCCGGGTGATATCTACCCCAAACCCACTCATGTATGAGATACACTACTTTATAGTTGACGTTATGCTTTGACATTTACACGCAATCAGGGTTGTATGACATGGGAACTATGGAGTAATAATTTGTTCATATATCGTGTGTGGGCCCCCACAGTTCAACGTTATCTTCTACCACTTGAGGGAAGGTAACTGGTAATGTCTGATACGTAATGGTCATTTTAGTTTTCAATACGCGGTTACTGTAGCTCTCCATTATAAACTCTCATAACGCTACCGCATCACCGCATATCAGTTATCTTATCATGCAAAACCAAATTCCCAGTTACCTTCCCTTAAGCGGTGAGAGATATTGGTGAACTGCGGTACCTACGCATGATATATTAACAAATGATCATACTTTAGAGTTTCCATGTCATATAAGCCTGATACAGTTCAAATAGCAAAGCATTACGTCAACTATAAAGTGGTTAAATTCGATGAAAACAAAAAATATTGAAGTCGACATTTACCGTCTGCCATATTAGATGCGAAGTTTACAGACATTACCTTCGCTTGATACGAACCAGTGAACCTGATATTCAACCTCCATTGCATGATTAACTACTTAAAGGGTTCCGATTAGCATCCCGTATAAACACAATATGGCGGCTCCATGCGAATCAACTGGATCAGTCCATTTTTAAGAAATAAGGGGAGTTCTGTAAAATCCAGTTTATTGAAATTGTCTTTGAGATAAAGTAATCCGTTTATAATGATTTTGAAAACTTTATCCAAAGAGTGATTGCGTTCAAATAATACATGTACAACAGCCAATATACATTCTTGTATTAGAAACCGGTTTGTCTTGCTTTGTTTCATTTGTAGGATATTTCATATGCCAAGCTGTGTGCTATTACGTTATGGGGAAATTTAGATGCCAATATTTCCTTATTATACACAAATAGAAGATCCTGAAACTTCACCCATAAATGTGGAATTGATTTGTCAAAATAAAAATCACCCTTTTATAAATGTGTGACGATCTTTAATATACTTATGCTATATAACAGTTAGAGGTGATGACACAACGACCTCGAACCTGTGAACCCTTGAGTATTATTCCGGGATCGGGCCTTTTATACTAAACGGTGAGCAACACCAGAAACGAGCGTTCGATTTGCTAAACGATATGCGTCACCCTTTAACACAACAAGCACTTTTTAAAATAATCATGTTTCCTAGATTTTATGAAAACATTTTCTTTTACATTAAAAGAGTAATCCTGGTGATCGCTCTCCTTGAAACGCTATATCTTCGTTACCAATACTTGAAGATTCAGTACAATAACTTGGAATTTTAAATATGCCAGTGTCCTTCAAACCTGGTGTGATGTCGAAGTACAACATGGAGCCTTGGATAGGGATTTGTTCGCCCTTAGATTCAACAGTACCAGAATACACATTCGCTATAGGCAGGCATGAGTCCTGACTTATGGTTAAGGTAACTTCCAAGTGTTGTTGGTCGTTATCAACTTTAGATTTCCACATATAGGCATCAAGTGATCCACCAAGGTTTAATGCCTTGACGAAGGTTGGATTTGTTTCGTTTAAGCATTGATGAATCTTGACCGTTGCGGTTGGTTTCGTTGTGCACTTCTTTTGAGCTGGTAGGATCGTGGTCTGTGTTTTTGTATCGTAATCCTGTAAAACTATCACGTCCTGTTTGATAGTTTGTCCCGCGACACGGACCTAGGTGAACAATAATTATTAACTATAAACTTTGATTTGGAACTCTGAGTGTGAGGGATATTTTTTATCTCACTTTGGAAATATTGGTGTCGTCTTGAGCCGGTGGACATACGACTGTGTTTGCGTACCTGCGTGACTGCGTGTGTGCGTTTCTTCTGTGCGGGGGTAAACTACTCGGTGGTCATTTTTGAATTTCCGAAAAAGTGCGATACTTATTACTGTGTTTTTTTGTTTTCAGTACGCAAATCATTCCTCTATATTTATGCCTATTTTACATGAAATCGTTAGTTTCAATAATAAAATACAAAGTATGTTACGGTTAATTAAAGGTGCAACACTTAGTGCAGGGGGGCCATTCAACGATCATTGACCAGTGTCAAAATATATTTAAGTTTGGATATTTCATCAAGACTAAACTATATAATTTTAGTATTTAAAAAGAAACCCCCTGGATGAACATTATTTCAGCTGATATTCCTCTTGAAACGTGGTGGATCTCAAAAATCTATAAGTGGGACTCCCTTTGTAGAAGCTTTGAACTGAATTTACACTTCTCAATGCTGAAATTGAGCGTTTATCCATACATTTTTAAAAAATAGTTATGTCAAAGAATATGTTAAGCCAAATATTGACCTGATAGCTCAGAAAAAAATAAAAAGAATTCGAATTTTCTCTCTACACTCCTTGTTGCCCCTTTAATGCGTCAGACTAATTACCTCCTGCATTATCTTTAAGGCGACTCGGTTATGTGGTGCATCAAACCAAATATGGCCATCTTGTGTGATCTGCAGATCACCGGTGGGTGGGGGCAGGGATTCACCGATCAATTGATCCATGTTTGCCTCCCATTGTGCTGGTACGCAACATGGCTCGGGGGCACCAACCACCTTCGACAGACATCCACAAAGGGCAAACAAAGTACATGTGAGAAGTAGCATCTGGAATGTCAAGAGCATAGCTTTCTATTTTATTTTTATCAAAACATCATTGATTCCTCGCAATGGATTCTCATTATCTTGCAGAGTATTCGTCTATCGACTTTTTCCAGAATATCTGAAACCTGATCTGAAGTTCGTCATAACAATATTGTTTTTTTAGATAATACACATGTTGTAAAATAATGGAATTTTCATAAACCATGGTCATGGCTTGTATTACAATATGATCATGAAATTAATCACATGATCATTGGTGAAATTATATTGAATATGCCATGATATTAATTCAAATTGATATACTCCTCCGAGATTCTTACAAACAAGCTTTCCTCTTTATAACCATTCGCTCGACACTGATTTTTAGATTTAAAATATGTAAAATACCTAGAATACGTAACATGCTGTGGGTACTTACCCTGTGATACTTTGGCTCAATTAGTTGTATAAGGAAAGTTATCTATAAGTTGAATTATCTCGTATCTAAATTATCTGTTAGTGCAAACTTGACATCACCTGTTTGGTTCACTTTATTCTTAAAATACTGTAACATGTAATAATGCTTTCAGAATTGCTCGTACAGTATTATGTATTTTCAAAAACTTTTTTTATGCCCTTATTGTCACTTCTTCAAATACAGGGCGTTCATTAAGTTCGTGCAAAGATACTCTAAAAATTTTGTTTCTGAGTCAATCTGGCTGACATTTTCACTCAGTTTACCTCTACTTCATACATTGAAATCCTAAATTACAAGTTTAGAGTATATATGAACGCCCTGTATTATGTAATAATGCTTTCAGAATTGCTCGTACAGTATTATGTATTTTCAAAAACTTTTTTATGCCCTTAATGTCACTTCTTCAAATACAGGGCATTCATTAAGTTCGTGCAAAGATACTCTAAAAATTTTGTTTCTGAGTCAATCTGGCTGACATTTTCACTCAGTTTACCTCTACTTCATACATTGAAATCCTAAATTACAAGTTTAGAGTATATACGAACGCCCTGTACTATGTAGTAATGCTTTCAGAATTGCTCGTACAATATTATGTATTTTCAAAAACTTTTTTATGCCCTTAATGTATCTTCTTCAAATACAGGGCATTCATTAAGTTTGTGCAAAGATACTCTAAAAAATTTGTTTCTGAGTCAATCTGGCTGACATTTTCACTCAGTATACCTCTACTTCATACATTGAAATCCTAAATTACAAGTTTAGAGTATATATGAACGCCCTGTACTATGTAATAATGCTTTCAGAATTGCTGTAACGGTATTATGTATTTTCAAAAACTTTTTTATGCCCTTAATGTCACTTCTTCAAATACAGGGCGTTCATTAAGTTCGTGCAAAGATACTCTAAAAATTTTGTTTCTGAGTCAATCTTGCTGACATTTTCACTCAGTATACCTCTACTTCATACATTGAAATCCTAAATTACAAGTTTAGAGTATATATGAAGGCCCTGTGCTATGTAATAATGCTTTCAGAATTGCTATGTCACTTATTCAAATACAGGGCATTCATTAAGTTCGTGCAAAGATACTCTAAAAATTTTGTTTCTGAGTCAATCTGGCTGACATTTTCACTCAGTATACCTCTACTATATACATTGAAATCCTAAATTACAAGTTTAGAGTATATATGAACGCCCTGTACTATGTAATAATGCTTTCAGAATTGCTCGTACAGTATTATGTATTTTCAAAAACTTTTTTATGCCCTTAATGTCACTTCTTAAAATACAGGGCGTTCATTAAGTTCGTGCAAATATACTCTAAAAGTTTTGTTTCTGAGTCAATCTGGCTGACATTTTCACTCAGTATACCTCTACTTCATACATTGAAATCCTAAATTACAAGTTTAGAGTATATATGAACGCCCTGTACTATGTAATAATGCTTTCAGAATTGCTCGTACAGTATTATGTATTTTCAAAAACTTTTTACACCCTTAATGACACCACAATGATGTCACTAAGGGCAAAAGACTGAACGGCAATTATTATGTTTTTGTACGTCCAATAGCAAGAATTCGTATACGAAATGAAGGAACACTGACTGAACCGTTGCAATACGTTTTTGTTTTTCTCAATCTGACGCAACGTATTGAATGTTATGATTGTTAAAGAGGCTCTATGCCATAGGGTAGCACAATCAAGACCCCTCTGGACATTTTTGCATATTGAGTTTCACCACATACATACCCATCTACTTACCAAAGAAGAAGTCTCAAATCCCCCTCTTTCAGTGTTAATTTTGCTGGCCGATCTAATTATTTTCGAAGAAATTAATTCAATCTGAAGTTTGAATATACCGGGAAAGTCCTCCTGTTATCTGATTGGTCGTTGAATTTGTTAATCATAAACCTGATTGGCTGCCTGGTTCGAGGCGCTTGTGGGCGTTTGTGTGACTCAATGGTGATTCCCCTCGCTAGCCGGGGAATCGATTGTGTTAAATTCTGGAGTTTAGTTGTTCTGTTGATTATTTCCTATATTTCAGCAATAAATATATCCAAAAGTTATTCTCAAGATATATCCATGATATGTGAGATATTATATGAGCAATAACAATAGGACATCATTGATTGTCTTGGGGAGAAACCTATGGCATAATGCATGTTTAACTGAATTCTTAAGGAATAAAGGATCCTGTATCATTCTTTATTGGAAATTTAAAGGATGAGTGCATGTGGTACTGATGTACAAGCCCATACACGCACATTGCACCCAGTTGGATTCCGAGTTAGTAGATGCTTTTAAATCAATGCTTTTATTACAGTAGTGGGGAACATATCCGTCTTTAAGGGACTTCGTTTATGCTTAAATTTAGGATATGTAAAATACTATATACCCTTGCTGCAAGGATGTGGGGACCAGGTCCTGTGTTATTCCACGTCAAGATAAAAAAGATGTAAGTTTTATGCGTACATCGATTAAAACATCAAATCGACGTGTGTTTTTCAGAAAATGTGGAGGTCATCTCGAGCTCTGAGCTTTGGGGTTTCCCCTCCTCTTAGCTGAGGTGTCCTTATAAATTATGTTAATCAGTTCTTAGAACTCAGTCAGAGAGGCGGCCATTAGAAAAATTAAAGTGAGGCGTGGTGGATGTAAAATATAACACATCATTGCAGTTATATGCAGATAATTTGGTAAATACCATTGTTCTGCCAAATGTACATATGTATGAGTAAGTATTGATTAAGTAATTATTTGAAAGTTTAATTGATATTGAAGATTTTATTTCTTATTTTAGCCTTAATGTGATTTTATACAAAACACAATTGTCTAAGTTAAAATAAATTGAAAAAATGGATCATATGATGAATGTATTGAAACGGGTGTACATGTTATTAAATGCCGCAAATTACTCAAATTGCATCTTGCATATTTGAATACAGGACAACCCCTGATTATTCTCAAGAGTTAAAACTACTTCGCCATGATTCTTCAAGTTTCATCATAAGTTGAAATATTGCAGAATTAGTATGATTCTGACAAAACTACTCGTTCTAAAAATAATTTTTACAAAACCAAAAAGTCTGTTTTTACTTGTAGCTAGGTAAATCAACCGGGGATACATTTACATGCAAATGAGGAAAACGCCCAACATATATCAGGTGTCCCAAAAAAATTGAGCCACTTTTTGACAAGCATTATCTCAGCAACTGATGAACCAAACTCACTGAAAATTTGTAAAAAGTAGCCCAGGAGTATTGGTAGCAAGGTATAAAAATATGAAAAAGATCAAGTAAATATTATGTGAGAACTAAGAAATTCAAGATAGCATGTCATAATAGCCCATACCGGAGCAATGCAATGTGAACCTTACAGCATTTCTACCCAAAAAATGAGAAGCAATTTGACAAGTAATTTCTCAGCAATAGATGAGCCAAATTCTTCGAGAACTTTACCTTAGGCACTTTAGGTTATCCTCTGCTAGTGCCATGAATATGTAAGAGATTGGTCTCATAGCATGTGTGTATTTTAGAATTAAAGACAGTATGTCAAAATAACCAATATCAATGTAAAACTCACTTATTAATCCATTTCCAAGTAAAAATACTTTTCCGCATTTTTTCTTACAATATCACCTCCAATGAATTTGAGAATGAATTGGATTTTGGATATTTGGGATGAATGAAAAGAATTAATCAGATATCACTCGGCTCCCATCAAACACAATGAAGACTGAGCGTGCGAAGACGATAGCTGGTAGAAACATTTTTGAAGTCTCATATCAGAGCTCCGGTATGGGAATTTTTGACATGCTGTTTTGAATTTCTTAGAACTCACAGAATATTTACTTGATCTTTTTTATATTTTAACAACTTGCTAAAGATACTCTTAGACTACTTTGTACAAATTTTCAGTGAATTTGGATCATCAGTTGCTGAGATAATACTTGTCAAAAAGTGGCTCATTTTTTTTGGGACACCTGATATATAAAGGATATTGTTTTTAGGTAAGTGTTAAAATGCTTGCCTTTTTATTAACTGAAGAGTGAATGGAAATATGTAAAGATTAATATTATATAAAGATATGTAAAGATTAGTCAGTATGTAGCATTAAGCATGTGTACTTAATGAGTAGTTTTGTTATGTAGAATGCACGAAAAATTTTGGTGTTGCTATAAATAAATAAGTTCTGCAAACATTGATGCAAACTTTAACATGAGCGACAAAAATGTCCGTTCTCAACTTCTAAGAACACTTAATATTAAAACATGTGAGTCTGAGGCCAAGTCACTATGGAGAAAAAATGAGTTTCACTTCTCAGAATTCATTAGCATAAAATGTTTTCTTCGATTTCTATAGTTCGTGGAATCTAATATTCCAATAAAAAGATTGAGGGTCAAATTGACATGTTTATTGAAAATATTGTTTCCAATACTCTATTGTCGACTGCGTGAGTTTGCTCGATGGTATCATGATTTACTATTTACATCATTGCTTACTTTGGATTTTTTGGCACTTTACAAAAATGTTATATATCTTTAAAATTTCAAGATCCTTAAAAAGATTTAATTGTATGAGAGTGTGTAGAATAAAGTAAGTACGGAAGTTATTCAAAGAAACTTTTACCTGGATGTTCTTAAACGTTCAGATGATTCTGAGAGATCAATAAAATGTTTGAGCACATTGAATCCAAGTTATAAATGATAAATGAGATTCCACAGATTTTGGGGAAGAGTCTTCCTAATGACATAAATCAACCAACTGTTTTATAAACTAACACCCCAGTCACATTTCCTACGGCGACCTTGCGGTCTATCATTTCTGCGGCCAGTAACATTTCTACGCTCGCCGTGGAATTTCTGCGCTCTCATACTTTTGCAGTCGCATTTCCCACGGCAGCCGCACGGTGAATTTTAAATTTCTGTTGATAAATAATACTTTTTTCATTTTATTTACATCGGGACAATTTATAAATGTTATTCATAGTGCTAGGATGTAATATCAAATGAAAAGTGATCGTGAAACATTGACAAATAATGATTCAATCTTGTTGAGCCAGTTGATTTCTTCGGGGACCTCAGAAATGAACAAATATTATAACTCCGAGTTATAATTTCTACGCCTTCCCTGTGGCCTGTAAAAATCTGCATTCGCCGTACGGAGGCCGCAAGGCGAGCGTAGTTTTTCTACGCTCGCCGCAGAAATTCACCGATTTAATTGACCTGCGGTCGACTTGCGGACGCCGTGCGACAAATGTGACTGGGGTGTAAAGACAAGAAATTCAGGTAACAGGTAAGAATGTAAGGTAAACGTGATTTATACTTGCAGATCCATGTAACGCAAAACTCGGCCCTGTGTTTTTGCATGATGCAACTGAGCCACGCATGTAGATAACTGAAAACACACAGACAAAACCTGTCGCAATTCCTGATGTCACAATTTTCAGGTGAGTCCAGGGTAAGCACCCTCTGGGCTTACGATGATGGACCGATAATTATTGTGGATATAGCTGGACTGTCAGTCTGGTTTATTGGTTATTTTTTAATGTAAAACATTTACAATTTACTTATATAATAGTAATTTATTCATTTCAAATTTAAAATCGTTTACACTTCTGAATGTTTGGGAGATCCCTGCTCTTTAATATATTCAAAGTCAAGTCAAATTATTTCAATGAGCTTTGTCTCATTTTTCTCTCAGAAGTTCCTCATTTAGGCCAACTTAAACCATATCATATTCTTTGTTTCAGTTTTTGGTGACACTAAGAAGATACCAGGGCGATATCAGACATAGACATGTACTTGTGTACTGTTTAAATACAAAGTGAAAAGTTGCATGATATAAATCGTCGCCAAGTTGTGTGTATTCCAGGATTGATTTGACTGACTGATATTCAGAACTGAACTTTCCTGTGAGGATTAACCATTTACATTACGAAAACTATACCCTGCGTGCAGAGTCTAGTTAAACTACACTCTGCCTAGTAGAGACCATATTACAGTTTAGAAGCCCCGCCCCCACGACGGGTACCGGTGACAGTTTGGGTAATAAATCACTTCTGACTTATGCGCTGACCTTTCTTCCACCATTCAGCGAGCTTGAACAAACATACGCCAAACGCGTTCTAATTAAATATGCGCACGTCATTGGTCAATTCCGGGCTCAACGATGACGTCAGAAGGAATGACCATTTATAGAACGTCGGTCAAATTTTGCCGACGAACACTGATTGGCGCGGTGAGTTCACAGGTTTATTTTAGTTTGAAAGAGTGAAGACGAAGCTCTCTTTTAAGAAGTGAAGTCAAACGAATGCAAAGGGTACGAAAACTATACATAAAAGCAGTTATTTGAAAAGTGGTAAAAGTATTGCTTTTTGAAATACCTAAATTATAACTTATAACATTTCGAGAGGTTTCTGAGCTTATTAAGGATCTTGCAAAACCTTTATCGTCCAGTTTCTGTTGGAAATCCTCAATCTATTTCAAGGTTTCCTTTATATTAGAGATTTTACGTGTTTCATTTGTTTTGTTTTGTTTGGTCACATTGGTTTATAATCTCGCCATATACTTCCCCTACGGCTAAACAATGGAAGATAACAACCCTGTTGATCATTCTGAAAAGAATGAATCTACAGAAGTCTGCGACGCTGTGGAAGAAGTGTTTGACGAGGAAACAATACAGGTCGAAAATACACAGGAACTTGTCATCAAAGAAGGTGAAGTAATGTTGGATGAAAAGCAAACGGAAACAAGCGGCTGTGAAAATTATATCCAAGATCAAGAAAGTGCCAAATTATTGATTCAAAAAGGTGAAGGATTGTCAGAAGACGATTGTAAAGAAACAGAAGGCGATAAAAATAATATCAAAGAACGAGAAAATGCCGATACAATGATTAGAGAAGCAGTCGATGCAAATGATATCCAAGACCAAGAAATTGGCGTTGAAGAAGACGAGAGAAAGTTGGTGGAAAATCAAAACTACACAAATGAATTTCCCAAAAATGATGGCGTGTCTGATTGTGATCCAGTTAAATCGCCTCATGCCTTTGGTATTGAAACAGACGCAGTTACCTCTGTGTGTGCTGAGGACAACTTGTTAAAACATGAACTACAGATAGAGGATGGTATTGAAGATAAAGATCCATGTGGGAGTACAAACTTTACTCAGAAAAAATCATCAAACGGAGTGGAGCCTACATACGGCGATGACTCTACTGTCCAAGCAGAGCATTGTGATCAGGTTGATAAGATTGGAGGTGATGTAGGACAAAATACAAATGATCCTGTTGGAGAAGATTTTTCCAAGCCAATCTGTATTAAATCACATGTCGAAGCAACCACCTCCTTACAGATTGAACCCTCCTCGGATGATGAAGAAATAAATCCAACTGTTGACCAATCATCACCAGTCCCGAAAAAAACTGGTGACATTAAAGTTGAAATCTCGTCGTGTGCTGTGGGCCGTGCTGGCACTAAACCAACCAGGAGTGTTAGCACTGTAGATGGCACAGGAATGCAGTATTCAACAACACCCGGAAAACCAAGGCTCTGGCAAAAGTCACCTCTAAAGGCTGGTATAGCCTGGATTGAGCCTACCCAGAATCCCGATAAAGTAAAATTATACAAGATAAAAATAAAGAGACTGAGTGACAATCTCTGGAATAGCGTGGTTATCCCTGCTCCTCCAAGAGATGCATCACATCAGATTGAAACCGAACTTCAACTGCAACCAAACATTCCATATGTATTTGCCATAATTGCTAAATATGAGGAAGATGCGTTGAGTGATGACAGCGAGATTAGTGACGAATTTGTTATTGATGCTACAGTTGAGGAAGTCTGCAAGGCATCGGCTATAGAGTCTTCAACGATTGAGAGAAATGGTAACCCAGCTTTACGTCAAATGGTCCTTGAAAAGACATATGAAAAGATAGATGGGACGATTCAAAAATTTGAATATGGCGTTCGTAATCCGGCGTCTATCGAACGTGTCATTATGATTGTAGGAGCTACTGGAGCAGGCAAAAGTACATTGATAAATGGAATGGTCAACTACATGTTTGGTTTGAATTGGAATGACAGCGAAAGATTGAAACTAATACCTGAACAACTGAACCACAATCAAGCTGAAAGCCAAACTAAAGCCATATCCTCTTACACAATCCACCATGAACCAGGTCTAAAGGTACCCTTCACCGTGACTATTATTGACACACCTGGGTTTGGGGACACTGGAGGATACAAACGAGATGAGCAAATAACGGAACAAATCCGTGAATTCTTTACAACATCTGGCGCAAATGGTATAGACCACATCGATGCAGTTGGATTTGTTACTCAGTCCTCACTTCCACGACTTACACCAACTCAACGGTATATCTTTGATAAGATCCTTTCCTTATTCGGAAGAGATATTGAGGATAACATTTTGATGCTGTTGACATTTGCAGATGCTCAAAAACCGCCTGTACTCAGTGGAATAAAGGAAGCAGGATTCAAATATAGCGATTATTTTAAGTTCAATAACTCAGCTATATTTGCTGAGAAAGAAGAACATTCAAGAAATGAAGTGTTCAACAAGATGTTTTGGGAAATGGGCGAGGAAAGTTTTAAAACCTTCTTTGAAGCAATTGGAAAATTCGAATCAAAAAGTCTGACATTGACAAAGGAGGTACTGCAAGAACGGCATCAGCTTGAATTATACGTGTTCAAAATGCAAGACGACATCAAACTGGGATTGAATAAGCTGGAGAATCTTACAAACGAATTGAAGGTCGTCCTGCGCTACGAAGCATTGATAGACGCAAACAAAGAATTCGAGTACACAGTTGAAGAAGACGTGATTGAGAAGCGAGATATACCAGCTGGCCATTATACAACAAATTGTATAACATGTAACCGAACATGTCACGAAAGATGTTATATACCTGACGACAGCGATAAGGCAGGATGCTGGGCAATGGATAAACGTACCGGTACGTGTCGTATTTGTCCTCAAAAGTGTCACTGGCAAAGTCACAAAAATATGCCGTTCATCATGGTCATCAAACGTCGGGCAGTAACTAAGACGTCTGCTGAACTGTATGCCAGATACCAACAAGGTATGCAGGATAAGATGACAGCCGAGGGACTGATTCAGAAACTTCATGAAGACTTCGAATCGCACCAGACGAGTACGTTAATGCTTACCGAGGAAGTACGCCAAACAGTTGAGCATCTCAATGAAATTGCTCTTAAGCCCAACCCACTGTCAACATTGGATTACATTGATACACTTATCGATTCAGAGATGGCTGAGCGAAAGCCTGGACACAAACAGCGAGTTGAAGAGCTGAGGAAACTCCGAACCAGAACAGAGGTGTTTGTTAAGATGATACATGAAGGAGCCGATCCTTTTAATGACTACAGAATAAAGATCATGGATATGAAACCGAAGCAGAATTCGGAGCAGGGTGTATTTGGAAGATTTCAGAATTTTGTAACTTTCAGCTGGGAAATGGTGAAAGAGGGGCTTCGTAGACAACCAAAAAGAAAAAGGGCCAGGAGATGGGAAAAGAGTAGCTCTGGATATGTCCCTTCATCCAAAGTTTGAATCAAGGATTCTTGCTCGAGATTCTCTTTGATGGACTTTTTATTGATCAGTTGATGGTTTTCAGACTTGTTTATCTTTTTATTACTTTCACCAGCTCTGTACACAAAAGTTAAATGCAAATTGAAGTTTAAAAAGAAAAAGTAAAGGTTTTGCAAAGGCACAACATTATTGTGATAATTAGGTTTTCCGAAATATATTTGTTGTATTTTATATGCGATAAAAGTTTAACGTAGGATAAGTTGATATCAGTTGCAGAACAGGAAGATAAGACATTGTGTATGCTTTATTGTTAACATACATTTGTTAATGAGAATATAGTGCCGATGGATGTCAAGTAACGTATAGATCGAGGCAACGTGGTCAATAACATCAGAAATTCATATACGAGTATGTATTTGCTACGTGAGGTGTCAACTATAATTTTTCTCTCAAAAAACGAATGTTTAAGAAAATGGGCATGATAGGGGAAATTATACCAAAACGGTTTTAACGACAATCTTTGAAAACGTCCCCTTGTATTTCTGATCCAATTATTCTAACTATACAGCAATCCCTTGAAATGACCCGTACGCATATATATTTGATACATTTGTATCTTATTTCAGGGGCGACACAACTTGATTCTGAAACTTCACAATCTTATGTAACTTCCCATAAGGAATAGAATGATATATAACATGACAGGGTAGCAATGCTACATGTATGAGTTTATAGGGGGTGCATACATATGACACACCCTGTACTTAAAGGGGAAATATATATTTGCAATAGTTAACCATAGAAACAAAGTTGATCTTAATATTTGGTAGAGATTAAAAGGTGGATTGTATTGAGAGGGTTTGGATTCTTGTAAAGAGTGGATTGGATTGGGAATTTCTTTAGGTTTTTTCTGTTAATCTCCCTCTAAGCAATTTCCCTTTAAAGTATTTTGTGATAACTTGGGTTCCTCTGAGTAATCAGAGCAAAGTAACGACAAATACATACTCTAAGTAATGGACATTCTTAAGTATTTGCTTGCTTTCCCTTGTAAATTTTGCAAAACACAATAAACATAGATCTGTGGATAAAAACTGTCATTCAAATTGATGTGTGGATGTTCCCAAAACATTTCTATGTTCTGTTTGGACTGAAAAATGAAGCCAATCCAAGCAAATTAATATTACATCTATCATTTGACATCATGGAAGTGAGGAAAGCACCAATCTTCTAAGAGGGAGATCAATAAAAAAGATTTAAAAGAAAATCCATATTTTGAAGATTCCCGATCCAATCCACCTTTTACATGAATCCAAACCACTCGATCCAATCCATGTTTAAATCTTTACCTTATGTTTGAGATTAACATGATCAACAATAATATGTCACCTTTGTTTCTATGGTTACCAATGCACAACCGTTTGTACACTGTAAATAATGCACATTGTTGACAATGACCTTGATACATTGTTAATGCACAATATACTGACAATATGCTGTACTCAGTCACTATGGCAATATGCTATATGAGGCCGATTATTGTAGTTCGTGCATAGTTTATTCAAGTGAAGTAAAATAAATGCTGTCTCATAGCACCAAAATAGAATATAATATAAAAGTATAGTGAAACTGCAAGGTGATGGCATTAACATAGTACATGGATATATTATATTAAGTATTTGCATTTAATTAGATTGTACATTATCTAACTAAATATGAATTAATTATATGTGGCATTAACACAACAGGCTCTTGCTTCTCTAGAAGTACCACACTAAAAGTAGAAGTTTCTCCATTAAAATACCAGTTTTGACTAATAAATATTCAAAATGCAAATTCGAATATGTTTATTGATATAAGACTTATAAAATGTATGAAAGTAAATCATTAGTTAATGACTTACCAAGATAAAAATACTCAGAGATTTGATCAAACTCAAAAGTATGCCTTGCCCTGTAGAGTAATGGAAGCCAGCAAAAGTCTGTGGTAGTGCTAGTCTTTAACATCATTGATTCTTTTCCCTTTAATTTCCATGTATATGTTGCACCCGATGAAAACTATTCTGCTGTGTGTGTACAGCAAATGTCAAGTAAATTCGCTTGTAGTTAACGATAAATGACAACTGAAGATATTTCCCATCATCATGGTAATCATAGGAAACAGGAAGACGGGGTAGACTTTTTACTTTTTGCTGATTCCTCTCTTGACTCCATTACAAATAAGAAGGCTATTGAAATTGATTTTGTATACTCTATTGTCAAGGAAGTCAAGACATAGTCCAATATTATTGAATATGTACATTTATCTCTGGCCTGTCTCCGAGTTTTCATGATTTTTACTTATGAAATATATTATATATCGTTTTATATCTATCATAATTACCTTGTAACCTACTATTGTAATTTACCATTGTAACCTACAAGCCCAATAATGCTTCGGCGTTGACCCTTTATTATTTCTTGAAAAACATTATGAAATAAATAAAACATAAACTTGAAAAAAGATATTTTCCCTAGTATCATTATCTTACCCTTGTAATATATAGATGTTATTTACGAGGAGGGATTGAATATGGGTTTCATTTCGAAGGACAATATGATATGAACGAACGAACGAACGAACCGTTTCGATAACCAGCGTAATCCAGCGGATCACCAGTGACTGTGCGCCATGATTAAATAAATATTACATTCTTCAAAAATATTTGCTATTGAATATACTAGTATTCAGTAAGTAACTGTAAGTTCATGAGGTCATTATGAACTCCTCTATAACAAAATGAAATAGCAAATAAAAATCTTTTGATTTGGAATCTTTTCAAAAATCAGCTAAAAGTGTGGGTATTGCATGTTTCAGAATTCGACATAGCTGTGAATAAATAAAATGAATTGTATGTATGAAAAATACAAAAAATGCTTTTATGTGAGGTACACCGATAAAAGGGGAGATTTGTGGATAACATAAAAAATCGAACCCCTGGTCAATAATTGCTGGCTACGCCACTGAGATATTACATTATCAGTACAGGTACATGAACAAGTCGCTGACAGATCGTCTCTATTGTATTTTATGATTTGATTTTCAAGGTCTTGTAATCGTATAGCGTTTTGAGTAGTTTAAGTGCACTTACCTATGACTAACAATGAATCACATGATATTTTTTATCAGGTAGCCTGGATCATGTTGTACCTGTATAATGAACAATGTTTTGTGCCCTTGAAACAAAAGCAATGTTTATAAACATGTAGTTAACACATTATACAAAACAAAAATGGATGAAAAAAGCAGGTTGCTGAAAAAGGATCCGATTGATGGCGCTCCAAATGGATGGTGCAGCTGGGCACGAAATACGAAACGGTTGATTATAATAGAGCCAGTCTTGATTCTATACTCTATTTCAGTGCCTCTAGCTGTCGTTAACAATCAGTATTATTACCAGAAGATAGGTGAGAAATACAATTTCGATTATTTGGGAAAGAATGAAACTGATATTTGTGAAAGTATCACTGGAAATCAGTCGGACAATAACTCAGCAATCGAGCAGACGATACAGAATGAAGTGGCCATCTTTGATTTATATTTACACCTCGCAAGAAATATACCCGCCTTATTCATGTCTCTGTTTCTCGGCACTTTGAGCGATAAAGTCGGTCGCTGGCCTGCACTGATGATCCCAATAATTTTTAACATGCTTCGACATCTGAATTTCGCAATAGTAATCTATTTACACGCAGATTTGGAATATCTGTTTATTGGATATGCATTGGATGGATTTACAGGCAGTTTCGGCCTCATTTTCGCAACATCGTACGCATACCTTGCAGACGTCACGACCAATGAGAACCGTGCGTTTAGAATGGTTACCATGGAAACGTCGGCGACCATTGTGACCTCACTTGGAAGCTTGGGCATGGGATATTTTGTGAAATCTGCTGGATTTCTATATCCCTACGTGATTGTGACTATCCTTAATGTTGTTGCTATAATTTACATTGGTTTCTTTGTCCCCGAAACAGTCAAGAAGCAACCTGTTAAGATAATAACGTGCGATCACATGGTTAAAAGCATCCAACCGTATCGCGTGAAAACGTCCGATAAAAGACAATCGAAACTAGTTATCCTTCTATTAGTTATATTCCTACACGTGACATCGATGTTAGGGAGTGATGTTTTTACATTAAAGGTGTTGAAATCGCCTATATGTTTCAACCCTGTCCTACTAGGATATTATTCGGCGGCAAAAGAGGCTGCCATGTCTATATCAAACATAGTCTTGGTGAAGCTATTGTCCAAATGGTTCTCCGATGCTGTACTAATTGCGATCAGTTGCTTTATTTCGACAATGAGCTTCACATATATAGCGATGTGTATAACGCAGTTAATGATATTTCTTATCCCAGTCGTAAGTATAGGTGGCGGGATGGTTACTGCAATGGTGCGCGCGCAGGTTTCAAAGATTGTTCATCCAAGTGAAATAGGTAAATGCCCTACTTTGCCCAGATGACCGGTTTTATCATTTAATGCATGTTTATTATAGTTGTAATACTTGTCCGATTTTTGCCCAGAAGTCTGTTTATGATCATCAAGATTCACTCAACCTTAACTTCAACTGAATCGGAGCATAACTTCTCCTAGATTTACAAATGTTGCAGACTATTCAACAATTGTCCCCATCGGCGGGCTATGTGTATTCCCCAGAACCCTCCTATTAGGATTATTTGTAAAATATGGTGTTGACATGAATCTTGTTATAGGTGCAGTATTCGCGACCATAGCAAGTGCGGAGATAGTGTCTAGTACGATCGGGCACTCTCTATTTAATCTAATTTACAAGGCAACGCTCCCAACATTTAACGGTATCGTCTTTCTGGTAATGGCTGGTCTCAATATGATCGGTTTAGCACTAATAATGTAAGTGAGAATAGCGTATGTAAAACTAACAGCTTTTATAGTTTTTAACGAGTTGCCATAAGTCCAAGGGAACAGCAAAGGCTAAAGGACGATAGAAATCATTTTTAAATAAAAAGGGCATGGCAGTCAATATGTGTTAATAGAATTCTACCACTGCTGCCATCTTTCTGTCGGCATAAAACCTTTGCTAACAATAGCCATAAATAATACAAATACATGTAGTATAGTAGGAACAAGGGGTTCCCATGCACCCATAAGGTGTGAATAAGTTACATACATTTTTGTAATCCCTAGGGTGTCTATTTAATGAATCCATTTGTTAACATTGCCAACTAATGTCCCATAGTACTTTTATGGCGGCATTCAGTTACCATG